CGGGGCGGCCTGCCCGACCTGCTGGTGTGGAGCTCCCACAGCCAGCACTTCAAGGTGTGTGGGGAGCACGGGAATGCCCAGGGCTCAGCTGCCTTCCCTCCTGTAAAACCCTGCACTTGGCAGCCCACACAAACGGTAATTGGTGGGAGGGAGAAATTGGAATTAGGGATTATTGTGCTGAAGTCTCTGCACGGGTAGAGTTACAATTTTCTCATATGGTCACTTTTCCTGTAACAGTAGCTGAGAACACAGCAGGAAAATTGATGTAAAAAGCATCTACTTATGTTTCTTGTTAACGTTTCTTGAGACTAAACCAAGAGCTGAGGTGGGCCATCCAGTATTCTCGGAACAGGACTCTTGTGAGGGCTGGGAAATGGTTCTGCAGGAAATTAAACCAACCCAAACCAAGTAGCAAACCTTCTCTTGCAGAGCCTGGTCTCTTGCCTTGGAGGAACGTTCTTGAGCGGAGTTTTCCGGCAGCTTTCCAGGGACCTGCGGCACTGCCGGGGCGGCCTGCCCGACCTGCTGGTGTGGAGCTCCCACAGCCAGCACTTCAAGGTGTGTGGGGAGCACGGGAATGCCCAGGGCTCAGCTGCCTTCCCTCCTGTAAAACCCTGCACTTGGCAGCCCACACAAACGGTAATTTTCTGTGGCTCTGGGGGCTGCCCTGCCCGTGGAGCACTGGGTGATTACCTGGGGGCTGCCCTGCCCCGTGGAGCACTGGGTGATTATCTGGGGGCTGCCCTGCCCCATGGAGCACTGGGTGATTACCTGGGGGCTGCCCTGCCCCGTGGAGCACTGGGTGATTACCTGCTCCTCCAGCAGTTCTGCTGGAGCTTTAGTGGGCGTAGGGAGCAGACACAATCAGCACTGGCTAAGGTTGGTGTAGAAAAAGTCTGATTAATCGTAATCTAAAGCACCTCTTACAATCAGCCACATATTGACTGTTGTTAGCAAGGAGTTCTACTGGCACCACTTAGATGAAATATGGACTACAACAACTGTGTCTGTGTCTGCTACAGCAATTGAGTAAACAGTCACGGATGGTGCCTTGCACAGTAGTGGAATAGCTACTAGAACACTATTGGACATCTCATCGGTTGGAGCAGCTTGTTATGTGTTTATGATACTGCTGAATAGCAGAAATTAGTTCTCTAGGACACCTGAGTAAGTTGCTGTCAGTATCAGCTGGAACAGGTGAGGGCGCAGACAATCGATTTTGCAGAATGAGACATCTCCATTCAAGAGGGCTTCTGTCTGTGTTTAGGTAGATATTTACTATGTAAAATTTCATTCTCTTACAGTTAAATTCTGAAATATGGGGTAATAATTCAGCACCCACTGGACCCTCCATTGTGCTAAGATCTCTATTATTTTTGTTGCAAATAACAGCCATTAAAAATATTTCTTGTGTGGGAGGTACTGATCCGTTAGTTCCTCCAGGGACACACTTCTAACCATCCCCCTTTCCTTGTAGCTGGTGGAGGTGAAGGGCCCCAACGACCGCCTGTCTCCCAAGCAGATGCTGTGGCTGAGTGAGCTGCACAAGCTGGGGGCTGCAGTGGAGGTTTGTCACGTGCAGGACGTTGGAGGCAAGAGCAAACGCCTCAGCTGACAGAGGTTGGGTCATGTGGGGCACTCTGTTCTTAAAGGAACACACACCAATGGCTGCTGCTGCTGCTTATTAAAAATAGTTTCTTTTAACATTCTGGTTTCTTGGTACATTACCATAGTCCTTTTTAGCACAAAACACTCTAAAATGTAATTTGAGACAGCTGTCAGTATGTTCAGAAGAGGAGGGTCCTTCCCTCTCTCCACAATTCCTGAGTTATTCTCTCAGGTAATCTGGGGTTTGCCCAGCAAGGAGGAAGAGTTGCCTTCACACTGGTACACCCTGAGAACATCTGTACAATACAGAAACTGGGCCATCAGGTCCTGCTCATTTGTGTGGTGCCCTTGTGGCCTAAATTCATTATGGTGGACAGGTCTCCTTGCAAGGTGTGAGTTCAGCCCCTTGCCAGGATTGTCTGGTCCAGTGTGGTTCTCTGCCTGTCCCCACTTACCATTATGTATTTGAATTTTGCACTTGCACATAAACAGGTACAGGTGGCAGAGAGTAGGGCATGAAGCATTAATGCTGTTCTAATGTGTATGAAAGGATAGTTTATTTAACAGCCCTGTGTGTTGTATCTGCCTGTATAAAGGGACATACTTCTGGTAGTGGACAGGAGTTGGTCAGTGCCAAGATGACCACATTCAGTACAGTCAGTTCTGCCCCACATAAATTGATGAGTTTGCTCATTCAGAAGTATGTCAGTCAGTTGGAAATAAAAAGATGAATTCCCTTTTAAGACACCAAAATCCCGTGGGTTTCTCTTAATTTTAACACAGAGCCAACATATTTTCTCTGAACTGTTACTTCTCATACTAAGTTCCCTGCTATGAGAAATTCTGATCACCATGCAAACTGCAGACACTATAATAGAAAATAACAAGAAATAAGATAATTTGCACATCATTTTTATTAATCATCTTTCTATAGCACAGTGTCCATGCTATTCCTGGAAAAAACCACGCACACACAATTTTTTTTGTTAGGGGAAGGGAAAGAAAACCACCTGAAGTTCACTGTGGAAAGGTACGAACTTTTATTGACTCTAATTTACTTCACATTCACAACTCAGCATCAGGATTTTATAATCTTCCTGCCACTGCTACTTTACTCAGTAAGTCATTATCAGGCACAAAGGTTTTAGTTTCAGTTGAAATGGTGAACTCTAAACCATCACAGCAACAGCATTAGAAACCTACTGCCTAGAGCAATTTGAGGTACAGATTTCTGTCTCTTGGTTAGAGGCAAATTTAAGATTTTGTCCTTTGCTTAAATACATGTTAGAATTTTTGGTTTTAATATATTTCCATCTGAGAATAAGCCAAAAGGTTTGCCCAGCTTGCTACATTTTCATTGAAACACAAGGCAGTTAATTGACCAGAGTGGTGTTGCAGGCAGGTGCCCATGAAGCACACATGCAGGCCTGGGCAGACACACACAGAGCTCTCAGTGCCTGGAGGCTGAGGTGCCACCACAGCCCAGCCCTGCACTGAGCCCAGCTGCTGCACTGGGGCTCAGCAGCTGCAGCAGCAGCTGCAGAGCTCCCCCTGTGTGGTACAAAGTCATGACTCAGCCAGGAACAGCTGCAGTAATGCACATTTTCTACAAACACAAAGGGATGAGCTGCTTGGTAGCTTTTCTACTCTTGCAACACAAAAATGGCATTTAACAGTATCTTGCTTTAAATGGTGAACAGAAATGAAAATTTGAAAATATGTGTACATATATATATATACAGACATATATATATATATATATACACACACTTGCATGTTTCTGTACACAGAAGTAAGACACATACTCCCACCCCAAAATTGCTTTTGAAAGTTATTAAAGATATTCAGAACAGTCCCCACTGACTTGATAAGGCAACTGTGCAGAGTGGAGAATATTTCAAAATCAGCACTTGGTACCTGTCCAAAAGTGAATCAGAAAGTGTCGAGCTGTTGAACTCAGAGCAAGCAGCAGCATCCACAGGCACAGCAGCTGCTCACACTCCCCAGCAAGGCCATGCACACAAGGAAGCAGAACCTTGTCTTCAAGTCTAGGGAAAGGTGGAGCCCTTCCCTTCCTCTCTGCAGGAGGTGCCCCTCAGCCTCTGCTTACCTAACTCCCTTTCTGGAATGGTAAAAAATTTCTTTTTATGTCTGTTTGGCAAATAGATATTTCGACAGGTTTTGTTTATTATAAAGGCATATTATTTTTAACCCTCTCCCATGCTATATATATAAAATACAAAGTCCCTCTGCAGCATCTGTACACATCTTAGAACTGAAATGTAAAAATGTGTGAAATCTATAAAAGACAGTTCTGTTTAAATATAGTACCCATTTTTCCCCCAAAGGGTACTAGCCTAAACATTTAATTCCACCAGCTGCTTTTGTGGAGTAATTTATTTACACATTTTTGGTACCTTTAATCCAAAGAAGTTATACTTTTAAGGAAAAAAAAAGACATTATAGTTTTAACTGTAATTTTAAAGGAAAAAATATTGGTACCAAAAGACACTAAGCACACAGGTTGAGGTCTTTATGTCAAGTATCAGGCCAGGGAAAGCAGTAAGCTAATGGGAAAAGAGGAATGGCAAAAGCAAACTAAAACAAACATTTGAATAATGAACAAGTGAGATGATTACTCCAGCAAGCTTGGAAATAAACACAACTGGTTTGTGGACCATTCAACATGCTCAGCTCATCTTGCAGCACAATTAGGCAATTGAGGTGAATACATGTTTTTTCCTCACAAACAGTTGCCCAGAAGTGCCTGGCATTGTGTCACAACAGCCTGTGCCTGCCCACGTTGTGCACAGCACACACACAACAGCTTCTTTGCATAGGAACAGGGTTTGGAAGTTTGGGAAGGTAAAAAAGGAAGCCCCCTCCCCTGACATTGTTCACCTTTGCATTGGCCCTGCCTTGCTTCCCTCTCCAACCCCAGCAGTGCAAGCACAGCACAGCCCTGGAGGTCAGAGAACAGCCTGGGAGCAAACCCCACTTGGTGATTTAGGCTGTGCTGAAGATCAGTTTGGGTTTACAAAGATCTCCAAATCCTATCCCCTCCCCTTTTTTTAAACTAGAATACAGTGCACATTCCCATCCTGCAGCTTTCGTTTTTCCCCACTGAGAAAACTGAGAACAGCTCTGAGTCCATTGTATAAGGCCTGTGGTGCCCTAAACTGGTGAGGCAATACCTGGGTAGAGGCAATACCTGGATAGAGGCTCAGTGTCAGTTCAGCAGTGTTGGTGTTTATACAGAAATCATTTAATACAAAATACAGCCTCGCTGACAGGAGCCTATGAGAATGACACATCACTACTTCTCCAACCTCCTGGAATTCCTCAGAACAGCTCTGAGTCCATTGTATAAGGCCTGTGGGCAATACCTGGGTAGAGGCAATACCTGGGTAGAGGCAATACCTGGGTAGAGGCTCAGTGTCAGTTCAACAGTGTTGGTGTTTATACAGAAATAATTTAATACAAAATACAGCCTCGCTGTTCAGAGAAGGCAGCTGACAGGAGCCTATGAGAATGACACATCACTACTTCTCCAACCTCCTGGAATTCTTCACACTCCTGCCTTTCTCCCTGTGAGTCCTTTTGTGGCACAGTATTCAGGGACAGGCATCATTTAAAAGGTTTCAGAACAATGAGGAGGCTGCTGCATTAAGCAGAAGGAGGCTGTTGGATGCAATTCCCTCAGGCAGTGCTTGTTCAGTGCACTGTCCCTATGGATGTGCAGTCTGCAAAAAGAAGGCACCACTCACTGCTCTTCTTGCAGCCCCTGCTCCCAGTGACTGCAGCACCTGCACCCCTTGTGGAAGTGGCAATGAGGAGCCAGTGGTCCTTTCTGGAACCCAGCAGGGCTCAGGTGTGAGTTCTGCTATAAGCTACTCATCCTGCAAAAAAATGAGGAGAGGGATGGCAGGGATCAGGATCTGTGCAGGGATATAATGCTGAGTAGTTGAGATGCTCTTATAAAAAGGTGAGGATCTTGTGGGACTTACAAACAACTTACCCTTCAAGAGGCAACACCTGCTGCTTCTTCTGGATGCCTCTTCCAAAAATAGAGAGGGGGAAGTGGGGGATAGAACAAGAACTTGCCACAACAATCTGTTTTAAAAAGTTGGGGGGGGGGGGGTCAGCTGCATTAGAGTAATCCTGCTACTGTTTCCTCCCAATTAAAGGCACTTCTAAAGCTACTACAATACCATATCTACAGTAAATGTTTTAAGGTTAACAGTGCATTGTCCTGATGTGGATTTCTACAGTCTAAAGTCAAGCTCATGACAAAGAGCACAAATCTGACTAATTGTTAATGAACACATTTTGGGGACAGAAAGAAAAGGGAACAACCCCTTCCATGGATACACTGCATTAGCACAATGTAGGATGATCAGTCATGGAACATTATTATGTTTGTATCTATGCAAGTAAGTATTACTCCTGAAGAGGCAGTCTGATAAAATAGTACATTCCCAGATTTCAGCTGTCAGTTCATCTCCACTGCACTACTTTGGCTTTCCAGCTGTTTTATCAAAGGGTCACTCCAGTCACTATCTGGGAAAACAAAATTATTTCAAGCAGAGCCCTCACTAACAACCACACCAAGCCTTTCAATTAGCTAATGAAATGCTCTATCAATTGTAATGAGCCAAACCCCCAAGAAGAGGAGGAATTGGGGAGCAGAAGCCCCAGCAGATGAGAACTACTGAAGACAAAATTGTGCGATTTGAAGCATGACTTGCCTTGCTTTTAAATATTTGTGCAAATCTTACGTAATGTTTGTATATAAAAATTATTACAGCTTTCAATGCCGCATTTAGCAGTGTTAAGTTAGAAAAGACAAAATGATATGCTGTATTCTCACCAAACCTTTAAACCTCCACATCACCTCAGTCTTCATTTGCAAGCGTCTCAGTGGATAGCCAGATTTTGGCACCACTTAAAAATTTGCTTAAAGGTGTTCCCAAAATGCTCCGTCTGCATAGGTTCCCTACAGGAGAAAATGGGAATGAGGAGGACAGAAAGTCTGGGGCACCTGAGGTGTCATTTAAACCATTTGCTCTGAAGTACATCCTGCTTTGATCCAGTTCTGAGCAGTGGCCTTGCAAGGAGGAGTTGCTCTTGTACTGCCGCAGGCTGCGGTTTAACATGTCCACCTCGTCTGCCAGCAGGGAAACTCTGTGGAAAGCAGTGATGGAGCCCCCGTGGTTGATCTGGGCCTCGGGAACCCAGCGGAAGTAGCAGAGTTTCCACAGTTTTATTTGTGTTCCAGAGAGATGGGGCAGAATGACGCCGTGCAAATCAACGGGCTTTGCAAACCAGTCTCTGAAGTACTGCTCCATACTGTGGCTCTGCCCTTCTGCTGACTGGAAAAACTCCGGCTTCAATTTTAGTATCAGAGAGTTTCTTCTTGGAAGGAACTCCTGCTCACCGATGATTCCATTTTTTATTGCTGGAGGGACACCTCGCAATGTGGAGCTGTAGTTTTTCTGCAGAAAATAAATACTGGTAATTTTCCAGTTCTACGTTCATTGGAACAGCAAATTACCCTCAACTGCCAGGGTGCATCATCCAGACAAATGCTGTGACCTTTAAATAGTTCTGAGCTTCTGAGTCACTGCTGCAGGGCTCACAGGGCAAACTGTGGCCTTTAAAAAGAAATACATATGGTTTTTTGTAGCAACAAATGATTGACTTATAATCAGTATTTACCAAAAATACTGACAACCCCAGGGGAAAAAGTGGCCTGTCATCACTTTTCCAAAGGTGAAATAATGAAAATGTTGGCAGTGACTCAGCCACATCAGAAAATATCCTAAAACACAAGGCTCAACAATTTACATCACTACTTCTACAGAAAATAATTTCTTTAGGCTGGGAAGCCAAGATAATGAAGGGTCCTACTGCTAATCAAGGGCACCTGCAGCCTCCCCAGCAGGACCCCTGAGTGTGAGCACAGCCTCAGGCACAGGCAGAGCCCCTCAGAGCCCCCAGGTACCTTGGAGCGCTTGAAGGTGCGGAGGGCCCCGTTGTGCACGCTGGGCGTGCTCTTCCCGATGTACAGCGGGTTGTGGAACAGCAGCCGGTCCCGGCTCGTGAACTGCAGAGACCAGTCCCAAACACATGGAAACCTCAGGCCTTTCTCATCACCCAGCTGAATATTTTTGCTTATAGCGAATTCCTGCAAGTAGGAAACATTCAGGCAGATTAAAATCAAAGAAAATGGGCTTCTTCATCAGTCTTAAAACCAGCGTGTAACTATTGGGCAAAGAGGAGCAGGGTAGCACAACAGAGCAGCAAGACAGCTGAAGAAAACAGTTGGTCTGCATTTGTGCAGTTACTTTTCAATTCTATTAAACTGTTTGTTGGCTTACTCTTAACACCCAAACTGGTATTTTGAGAATTCACCAACAGTCCCTCAATGCTCTACTTCTTTGTAAAGTTGCTACCTCTGACTTTAAAGGGAAAATATTTAATGAAATAGGCAAGTTTCACTTTTATCAGCCATCAAATGTATTCTACACACAGTTCTGATAAGTTTGTTTTCAAAAACAAATTTAAGTGTTCAATTTTCTAAATGCCTCCACTGTGCATTACTATTGGAACTTTATGCAGCATCTCCAACTTTTTCAACTATTTAAACAATTATGTCAAGAGATTTCAGGTTTGCCTGAAGTGTGAAATTCTATTTATTGCCTGTCATTCTACTTTCTGAGTTCCAGATACAGATTTGTTTCCTAGAGGAGTACAAATAACAATGTAGAGTAGCAACATTTTCCTCAGGAAAAAACCAACAAATAAATTCAATAGACTTTCTTCTTGACTAGTTAGTCACTGTCTCTGCACAGACCACCCGAAAGTCATTACGATTGTATTCACCTGGGGACCTGAGTGTTTTGCCACAAACAGAGTGTGACAATTGGAAGGACACACAGGAAGCATTTAACTGGGATGCTGTTATTTCCAGGGGGGCAGGCTGCAGTCTCCTGCTGGACAAGCAGTGCAGCCCCTCCTACTCACAGTGCTTTCCTTGACTCGCTGGTGAGGGCAGTTGAAGAGGAAGGTGCCGAACAAGGAGATGCGTGCGCTGTCGTACAGGATGGTCAGGTACACCTCAGAGAACTCAAAGGCTGCTGGGTATTGTTCCAGCAGCTGCCAAACGCAGTCAAGGAACATCAAGAACAAAGGAGACTGGCAAAAGAAACAAGGAATGATCAGATTTAACATAAGCTTTTCCCAAATCATACCCATTTCTTTGCAGTTTTGGTATTTGGCTGTACCATTGGTACATTACTCAACCATAGGGTAAACTATTTGGAGTCTTGCATTTTTCATGATTCTATGCAAGTGTGACACTCTATATTCCTGTTTAGCCACTTCTTTCTCAGCACTACCTTTGCACAGCTTTCCATGCTGTGTAAAATGGGCTCCCCTCATACTCATGCAGCTGCAAAAATCCTTTCCGCCATCTGTATGTCCCTCATAATTTCCAAATTAGTGCTTGTATGAGCCTTCCTTGCCACTTGGCCTTGGTTTTACAATGTATTTTCTTCCTTGTTTGGAGAACAAGGACTGGAGAGCTTATGATTCAGCCATGCTAATTTCTCACCACATTTTCTATCTCTTTTCCATAGCAGCCCATGAATTGCAAAAGTATAAACTATCATTTATGTAAAGCTTTAGAAATATTTCCCCTTCCCATTTTCACTTTTCAATATATCCTTTCCTAGGGCCAAAATAGCTGCTTTTCATGATTTCCCTCTTGGCATCTCATTTCTTTATCCCTTCATGCATTTTCTCTGCTTGGTGCTCAGTGCCCTTGGTTTATCTGTAGGTTCCATGCTCTGGGGATGTTCCTGTTCTGTGACTCTGGGCACTGTCTCTGCAAAAGGTTCCTAAGCTGGGTCCTCCATGCTTCCACCTGCAGTTAACAGCCCCTCCTTTGCCATGAAGATGCCAAACAAGAGCTGGCAGCGCTGGAAGCCGAGCCCTGTGCTCCCCTCCTTCCACCTCCTGGCAGCCATATCAACTCCGGCAGCTGCAGGGCTTCTGCAGCAGCTGCCTGCTCTGAAAGCACTGCTGAGTGATAACACCACAGGGATGGAAACAGGGATTGGTAAAACACACAACAAAACCACCCCCTCCAACCCCACTCCTCACCTCCTTGGGTTTCAATTGGAAATGTGCCTGTGCTTGTAGCAGTGAGATGCTTTCATGTGTAACCCTGAAGCAACATGAAAACCCATTGGACTGCACCTGGTATTTCACTGATTCTCACATAGCTACAGAGAGTAAAGAAAAAGTATCTCTACCCTGGAAAAAAAACTTACTTCCTCTGATACTATTATAATGAGATTTGAGAGCATTAAAACGTATTTTTACTTTTAGATTTCTGTACAAATACATGTTCAGGACGATACCAAGCAGATACTGTGATCACATGCAAATACAATTCATTTTTACCTCTTTGTCAGATCTCTTTAAGTGGTTACACCTATCTAAAAATTGATATCCTGCCATGACCCATTCCTTCTGTATTAGGCTTTGAAATCCAACAATGGTTCGAAAATAGGGATCCAGCATGACTTGAATGAGAGAAGCAGCAAGACAGCTCAGGTCCCGTCCCTCTTCCTCTGCAAGCAACAGAAAGTACAGAATACATAAGGTAAATGCACATGTACAGAACTAAATTTCAAAGAGAAAAAAGTGCAACTAGGTCTCATGTTTTTATTAGAATTTCTTTTAAAATATACTTTTAGTAGTTTTAATTGTTCTCGTAATTAAAAAGCCAAATAAACTAGAAGAAAATCACACATCTTTTTTCTTAAACTGAGAATCATAGTATAGAAAGGGTTCCTGCAGTATCCAGCACACCAGTGCAATCATCAAGAACAAAATACCTACCCAACTGCCTAGTACTGAAATCAAGGTGTGCTGTGGAGGAGAGTGTTCATGCTGCCAGAAATTTTCAACATTTTTCCACCCTGAAGTAATTTTTGTAAGGCCACTACATGGGGAGAGTGGGATATACCAGCTGAACAGGTCTTGTAAAAACTACAGGAATTACAGATATGAGCAAGTTTTTCAGTGTCTTTTCCTCTGAAATACCTGTTTGCACAGACACAAGGAGTGGGCACCGAGTGAAATATTTTGTCTGTAGAACCTCTGAATTGCGCTGATATTGCTTCTGCAGGGACTATTAGCCCAATTAACACAGTACAAAGGTTCACACTAAGGTTTTGATTCTGTCATCATTATCAGAACAAAACCTACAGAGACTCAAAGCAAAATATTCCTTTGATGCTAAGGACTACACTACAGTTCTGATACATAACAAAGTTATTTTCCCTTCTAGTTCCCCAAGTGCCTGAGATATTCAGAATCCATGGGGTTTATGTATAAAGATTACAGTTGATTTTATCTAAATCTGTTTATCTACATTATCACAGTAATGCAAATAATTACAGCATGCTCTGTGTTGTATTACCTTGTAGAACTACAGAAACGTGCTTACACTCCATCATGTAGACAAGCTCAGCAGAATGCTTAAGAAAGGCTCTAGATAGGAAAAGAAAGTGATTTAACAGTTAACAGAAATTCACACTCTACAAGAAGAAGATTTGGGTTATCTATATTTACCTAAGTATTAAAACAAAGAATCCTTCAAATGATGCACTGCTAATTTTTGCACATTCTATTGAACATCATTTTATTAATGGTACCAACCTAATGTACTCTAACCAGCGGGTGTTTTCCAGTGAGGACAGCCACTTCTCTTCGGTTTCATCAAAAGGGTCTGCAACAGGGACAGTAATTACATTGCACAACAACTTCCAGTAACAGTCCCTGTCAGCCAGGCTGACTGGAATTCAGTGCATGTCAGGAAAACAACCCCCATAAAAGAAGGAAAGCCCAGCATACCATTGACACAGAGCTGTTTGAGTTTGTTGTGTGCAGCCTGGATTTCCTGGATGTTGGGGAGACACTTGTCCAGGTCAGATTTGTAAACGTCACTTCTCAGGGGATGGCTTCGAGTTATGGCATTACAAATCCTGCAGGACAAGAATCAGCATGTTTATTGTTGGAGAGGAAAGAAACAGTCTTTCAAGAAATATGCCACTGTCTAACTGCAAGCAATTAAACCCACAGAAAACATGCACCTCATTCTAAAAAAAGTTTACTGGTTCACATTCAGGAGATACATTGCTCCTGCCATAAAGCTAGTGACTCAAACATTTTTGGTGTCTGCTAATTACTGAACATAAAAAATGGAAATGTTTTAATGGATCATTAAAATATCACATTTGAGAAATGAAATCTGATGCTGACTGACAGTTAAATAACTCTATTCAGTTTTTAGTTTTCCATCATTTTTAGTAAGACTTACCTATGTTAAATGAAGAGAATGTATTTAAAGTTTATGAAGTCAGGAAATCTGACAGGGTTTCAACTAAAATTCAGAGCTCCAGCCTAACACACAATGCAGATGTTTGCACTACTACAAAAAGTCACACTAAAAATTAAACCAAAGAACAAAACCCACTAAGCTTGTAAATTACCTACACAAGGCACTAAATGCCATCAGTCTTTCATTAAGGACAGCACATGACAAATATGTCACAGAAATACCATGTGCATTATGGTACAAAGTCTACTGAATTGTATTTCCCAATGCCTCGAATGAAGGGGATTTTTTACTGTCTTGCTGAAGGAGGGAAGCAAATCTCCACCAATGTAAGTATAGCAAATCTGATCCTTTTATAAATAAATTCTGTCATCTGAATGATTAGCCCCCTAAAAAATAAACATACCTCAAAACCTGAAAAGTTATTCTGTATTTGAAACTGGAATGGCCTTGAATAAAAAGGCACAAATGAAGTCATGGCCTTAATAAAATGGCACAATAAAAATTGTGCCAGAATCAGATGCAGAGAACAATCTCTCCAAAGTTCCCACACTACAACAATGCGGTGTCACACAGGGTCACCTCCATTGCCACCCAGTGCTGTGTCAGAGTCACCACTGGTGTTATCCTAACCCTGTGACTGAAGACTGACACAATGACTCATTTACCTCTGATCAATTCTTCGCTGCTGCAATACATCTTTAATGTTGGCCATTCTCACAAGGGCACTCCCATTAGGGTGGTTCCAGGACCATAACTAACATGGGAAAAAAACACAAGACACAACAAAATTGTGCAGGTTAGAGCTATTCTGTACATTTTTTTCCTTAATACTATGCACAGAACTCTGTTAATTGCCATGCACAGCCCCAGGTTGAATACTGTGCAATGACCAGGAGCAGTACCAGAACAAAGAGGACACTTACAGGCATTCGCCTCCCAATGAAGGAGTAGGAGTAGAGCTTCAGGTCTTGATCTGCTAAGGAAGATGGAACCACAAAATATTCTGGAAGGCTTGTGGAAAAAAACATGATAAAAAGGTTACTTTTCCCTGTGTTTTTTACCATCTTCCCTCTTGCTGCAGTGCTGTGACACTGTCCCAGATCAGCCCCTGGGCGTGGCTGCTGCTGTCCCGTGTGAGGGCTCAGCCACAGCACCAGCACAGCCCTGAGGACACTGGTGAGAAACAGCATGGAAGTCCCACATGGAAGTGCAGAAACACCAAAACCATGGATGCCAAAACATGACATTTCCTTCAGGGACAAGATTTGCAGCACCTTTCTCTGGGGGCCTCTCCAGAGAGCAGCACAATAAAGAAGTGCAGTGCACAGTTGGCTGCAACAGAGGCTGTGGGGCACACAGGACAGGACAGCCCAATCCCCTCCTGCTGGTGTCCCAAGAAGCACTTACCAAGTGGAGATCATATAACCTTCATTGACTGAGCACACTCTCCACTCAGATGCACCTGTCCTTTTGATTTCTCTATCCCAATCCGAGTAAGTTTCAAACAGAGGAGTCTGCTGACCACTGGCACTGCTGATGCCACCGCCACCACCTCCTGGGTCTATGCCATTCACCTTCTTTGCTAGGAAAAGGAAAGTCATCAATGCCCATTAAAAAAATAAATAAAAATCAAACTCTTCACCTTCCTAATTACAAAAATAAGCCATTAGCATCAGGACTAGTATTATCTCTATTACCTACTGTTGTATTATAAGAAAGCAGTGATTTAATGGCAGCTTGATGACACATGAAGATGTCAATTATTTTTTCCCTGCAATTTCATTAGAAAAGCAACATAAAATTGGCCTGCTGTGCTGCTTGATAGAAGCCAAGGCATACTAATACTCAGGAACAAATTTCATCTCCAGTCACAGGCTTTCTTTCTTCAATATGCCAAAGTTTGCAAGGTTTTAAAAACACAAACCCTTTATAGGCTACACAGTAATAGCTACCATGTCAAGAAAGCAAAACCAAACTTATATAATTTCAGCAACTTTACATGACTGCTGTATTAACAGCAAATAAAAGAAATGGATGGGTTAAAATACTGGGGTTTCTATATAGATTTATATCTACACAAAAAGATGGCCTATAATTTAGTGTTTAGGGACAGGAGCTTAGAGAGGCTGTTATTATACAGAAGGGTCTCCTTTGCTGGTCATTCTTTAGATGCCAAGGGGACAGTCAGCTGTGTCAAAAAGAAATTATATTTTGTTTCTTGACACTTGAAGTACATTTTTAGATGGAAGTGCAAGAGACTGAAATTCAGCCCTGTTACCTCCCCCATGAAAGCTCTGAGCCTTAGCAAAAGTCTGCCCAAAGGAAGCAGAACAGTGTCACAGCTCTGCTGACATCCCATAACCTGTGTGCTTTCTGTATCTCTCAACTTCATTCTTGCACTGACACTTTGACTACTTATGATTTTCAGAAGAAAACAGGACTAAAATTAGACCAAAGTAGTTCTTCAAATATGGTAAACAAAGAAATACAATAATTACAAAAAAAAGTCAATTTTTCTGTTTAATGGTGGGATATATAACTATCAAATATAGCCTGGGAAAAAAACAATGTACACATACACCAGAACAATGCAGGCTTTTTACGTTCCCCAGGAAGCACAAAGACAGCATTTCACCTTTTACTTTACTGGGAGTAGCAGAGAGAGAGAGTCATTAAACAGCACTGGAATTGCAAGAGCAAAGCCAGATATCTACGGGACAAACACCAGGGTTCACAACAAGAAGAACAATCCAACACAACCCAAAAGAATTTCATATTCTTTTAGGAACTGCAGCATGGCAGAACAACTCTCCTTTGCCATTCTGGTCTGCTGCTCCAGAGGAACATTTTTACCCACCTTACATAATTCTTCCACTAGGTATTTTTCCATACAGCAAATGGTATTTTAAAGAGAGAGTAAAGGCAACTTTGTGACAGCCTAACATTTTATTGCAATTTTATCTGCAATTGGCTTCCTCCCTAGTACTTTATAACATGAAAATACATGGACCTTAATAATTGCCCATGCTTTATGAAGTAAGAAATTCCATGTGTAATTGTGTGTGCAACATAATAATCACATGCACACTTATTCTTGTGCATGCACAGGGCAGTCATAGAGGCACCTGGATGAAAACCATGCATTGTTTTGCCAATTTGAAGGCCTGATCTCGTAATTCCACAAGGCTCATGTTTTGTAACAGGCAGATCAGTGGTTTCTAGTGCCAGCTGCTGAGTTCAGATCTCAGTAGCACAGCTCTGCAGCAGCAGCACGCTCTGTGGGGAGGCTTGTCACCCTACAACTGCTGGCTCTCAGCTGGGGAACACTCAGCAGTGACCGCACAGCATTACGCTAGAAATCAAGTTCCAAAGGCATCTTTGCAGGCTTACCTAACTGACAAGGTTCACTTGGAGATTGGCCTTGAGCAGAGAGGGTGTGCTCCAGCTCAGCAGGGGTGGTGGAGGTTTTGAGTGGTAAGAACTGCCTAGTAAGCCTCTAGGAAAGAAGGTATGGAGTCCCATGTTGCACAAATCCTCCTGCAATACCACCAGAAGAGAAACTTATTCCCAAAAGAAGGGCAGGTGAGCAAGCCTGCCTGATGGGACATTCACTGGGTACCCAGAGTACCAACAGAGACATACAACAGGAGGATGGAAGCATGAACTGAGAAATAGGAGTATTCATGCTGCCACAGTTTGGCTTTGTTTCAGACAGGAAAGACATTTCTTTGGATTTTGGTCATTAATGTCTATCCCAATGAATGACTTATAACCATAAGGAAGAGGCTGGGTGCAGAACAAGCCGATTTTGTTACCCTTGGAGAAAGCCTCAAACGCTTTTTGCCACTGCTTCTGGACAGAAGTCTTACTAAAAATGCATATTACAAAACAGAAAAAAGCACAATCCAAGTATTTTCATCCTTACCTGGATTATGATATATTTCCCCAACATACTCAAATGCAAAAAGAAGCTGAAGATCTGTTGGCTGAGAATAATGAGCTATTGCAAGGCACACCTAGGAAAGAGACATTTTTTACTGTTACTTAGATATTGACAAAAAATTACTGCCCTTAATTGTAACAGTGTCAAATACGCAGAGCTGTGAAAAAAACTAAAAATCAGTCTTTTGAATTTTCTTTAATGAAAGGAGTATTTATCAATCCAGCAGAAGAACCTAAGAGCAGCAGTGTCAGTTCAGAAGGTCCAGCCCAGCACTGTTCTGACAGCAGCCAGCAATCAGTGCCTAGGGAAAAGGGGGAAAACACAGAAACAACACAGTGGAATTTTACCAGGACAATTTTAAACAATTAACAGTTCAGGCATGTCCTGAATCAGTATCAGTATTTAACAGCATTTGACAAATATTTTGGTTACAAAGTTGTCAGTTGGGCCAGGAGGTTTTTCATGTGCAACTTCCTTTTAAAAAAACCTTATTAGTTCTTTCCCTAAGATTATTAAAATTAAGAGTGCAGAACATGATTTAGGATTAGCTCCTAGACTTAAAATTTCATCAAGCACTTCTAGTCTCTCTCTCTTTGAATATAGATATTCACTAATAAATACAAAAGATTTGACAAAAAAAACCTATGTCTAGAAGAATCAAATTCAGGAAGGAAAAAAGTATCACATAGAGATTGGTGCCATTATTCTTCAAATTTCAGGACATGAATGGAATCTAACTTTGTCCTCTTCCCTCAATATTTGCTTCTGCATTTTACTAAATTGTACCTTTTAACCAGGGACAAAGACACAGTGTAAGCCCACATTCTTATCACCTAAATTGTTTTTCTTTTTTTTCTATCTTCCTTTCAACTTTTCCCAACTTTTCATATTTAGAAACACATTTACAAAATTTATTCAGAGTTCAGAAGTTTTGAATATTATTTTTGAAAAATATCCTGTGCATCCAAGAAATTGTTTTCTGTTTATGAAGGGAAGTGTCCTTATTGTGACAGACATAACAGAAAGATTTGCACCACAGAACTGAAGGAGTAGCAGTGCTGGCAGCACTGGGCAATGGGAACAAAGCTTGAGAGCTCAGTTATGCTGAGATCTGCATGGAGAAAGTTGCTGTATTTTTATTGTTTGTATGCAGCATCCCTGGTGTTATGGAAACTTTACTGTATTTTTATATACTTTGGCTTTTGACGGGGACAGTCCTCATTATTAATAAAACCAGTAATGACAGTAGACTAACTTGAGCTGAAAATGTTGTTTCACAAACACTCAACAAAAAAATTCCAGTGGAGTCTTAGAACAACAGTTTCTTTGACTGTTCTCCCCACACCTTCTGTTCTACAATGAAACTGCAAAGGAAAATAGAGGACAGAACATTCCAGGGGTGACAACTCCCCAAAAAACCCAAGCAGTACAAGTGTTCCTGGAGAACAGTAGAGCAGACTTTCCTAATGAACAGTTACGAGCTCATTTCCAGGATTTGATAAAATGTTTAATGGCATAACTGGCAGCCACGGACATTTTACTAAATCTTGTGATTTCAGTGTATGAACCAAAGCAGAAGAAGCCAGCTATTCAACAATATTTGGCCACTTTTAACAGATTACTTCTGCCTATCATTCACAATGAAACAAAATGGAAATCTGTGTATATGCACATTTTGACTTCCATACAGTAACTGATTCTGGCAGAGCTACTTCTCATCTTCATTTCTGGAGTGAAAGTTGAAAGCCTTTTAGTATGCTAATCTACTCTCAAGACTTCAGGACAAACTGCAGGAAAAAAATTCCATTGTGCTGCCAAATAACACAACAGGAATACAGTAAAACCTATTTTTAAATAGGCAGGCAGCAGCTGAAATCTCTGTCATTTGCCTGCCACATTTGAAAAAGGGAGTATGTGTGTGCTTTGTGAAGAGGGACAAAATGGTGGGGGGAGGAGATAGTAACCATCCAGATCCAGTTCCCCACAAAAAATGAGGCCATAGTTGTGCTTTTAAACAAAGCATGAGCTGGAAAATGCTCTGGGTGTTCCATGGAATAGATGTAACTCACACCATGTATTGCATGGGTGAAACAGTCCACCCACAGGCTCAGGACGTCTATTTCTCTTATTTTAAAAAGTGATAGATTTATCCTGCTACTGTCTCTATTTTTACATTTTAGAAAAATTCCACTCACAGACACACTAAGCAAGTACTAAAGACATACTAATTTTCTGTTTATTCCTCACTAAATCCCTATAATAGCTTTATTGTCTCAGAGATTCAGAAGACAAGCACATTCCACAGATCTCAGCAGATTATGGCCATAAGTAGAACGCTCTAAATTGGAAGACAAGCATGTTTTACAGGAAGCATTCTCATATCAAACTCAAAAATGTTTGGTATTCTTGCCAATTTACAATTGTGTAAAGCTGAAGATATTTAGGCTCAGACAAATAACAAGAGAATAGGCTGCTTGTTGGAAAATTCATTTATTAAAAGCAGTAAACACAATGGCTGTAGTTATTTCATAGTACAAAAGCCATTTCCCTGTGTCAGTGTCCCCTGTTCAACCTCTATCTGGGAAAAATAAATGATACTTTCAGGGCACACCCTCCTCTTCAACAGGAATTTTACCAAGGGCAAGAGCTTCAAAGTATTACTAATGCTCTTGCAGAGGAGTTGTGAACAACAACATTTCAGATGTGCTAAGTTAGCACAGTCCTGGATTTTCCCTCCTTCCTTAAGCCAGGCTACCTGGCTTATGAACTCTGGAAAAATACTGTTTTCCATTGCTACTCAATTCCTATCCCAAGCAGACACCTGTGGCAGGAAGTCACACAAGCAGGACTACATCAAGTCCCACAAACAGGTTTTGCTCATTTTCCTGAGCTGGAAAACCTATTGGGAAAATAAGCATTCAGCATTAGGAGAATTTTTAAAATTCATCTATATTTAAAAAAACATCTTTTACCTTTACCCAGGGAAGTAGTGGCTATGCCATCCCTGAAGTGTTCAAGACCAGAACAGGGCTTTGAAAACCTGGTGTAGTGGAAGGTGTCCATGCCCATGGCAGGGGGGGGGAATGAGATGAGCTTTAAGCCAAACCTTTTAAGCCAAACCATTCTGGTTCTGTAAGTTTACTTCTAAAAAATATTTTCGTCATCCCCTCCAAAGACAGTATCTTATGCATTCCCAGTGCCTTGAAACAGCACCAATTTTGTGAGCTGTATAAACAATTAGAACAAGGTAATAAAGTTGGGGAGGCAGGAGGAACACATTAGAAAGGGTCAGGACCGTTTGTCCAAAACTCTTACAAGTTTCATATTATTGTTCATAACAATTAGGGAAAAAAATGTTCCCCTCCATCCCAAGTGTTATGACGTAGGAAAGGCTACTTTTGATTGCACAGGAAACAAGATTTGAGATAAAAGATTTTCCTTCTGTTTTGACTGAGCATGTGATTCTGAAACAACTCTCATACTCATTCAAAAAAGCTTCCTGAGAAAAGAACTGAGAGAGTTGCAGAAGACAAAGGGATGAGAAAATGGAGATATACTCATACATATGAGGCACAGGGTGTGTGCCATCCTGGGGCACTGCCAAGATCCATGTGCACGGTGAAGCAACACACTGGCCATCACCTAACAGTCAGAAGATCTACAGCCTCACCTTTTCATACATTTTATTTTCTCAGCCTAATGTCCAATACTGCAGTGCCTAAAAAATAGCAGGAGTTTTCAGTTTGACTGTTTGCTGTCGTTTTTGGAACAAAATAATTCCTTTTCTCTAAGGAATGTGAAATGCTTCTTTTTTTGCACTGCCTAACTTAAGACTTCCCCAACTTGCTTACCCTTGCTTCCCCATCCTCCACTTCCTCCCACACCCATCTGGCTTTCCTTCCTTTGGAGACTCCTGCTTTATTTTAGAGACAAAACAAAATTAAACTGCTAAACAGCAGTGACTGCAAATTTCCACTCCTTCTATTTTTCCTTAATGCTTGTTTCCCAAATATCCACTAATAAAAATGAGGAAGAAAATATTTACCTGGCTGACTAATGCTGAGACAGTATTTTATTAGCATGTATTGGCTGCAACAAGTACTGAGGGTATTTTTCTAACAGAACTGATTTTTAAGCTTCTCTATAATAATTTACCTGAAAATAAATGAATGTGTTCTCACAATGTTTCTGCTTAAAGGCAAAGAAAAAGGCCTCTGAAAGTTCTGCCAACGTTACCCATGTGTCTACACGTAGTCAAGTCTGTCAGTTTGTCCACATCAGAAGCCTGCTTTCAAACTTGGATCCTTCTTTTCACAGCATCCAAAGAGATCCTTGGAAAGAGGATCTTTTGGAGATCCTCAAAGAGAGACTTGGAATAATCTCTATTCTAGTAAGGCAGCTTAATTAGTTATTCTCCCTTATGCCCTGTTCAGCAAACAGAGACACTTCCTTAGGAACAGATTACACTCTCTTTGCCAACACTAATTTATGTCACTGGATGCTGCTGAGTATTTCCAGTACGTGCAAGGAGCTACGCTTCAAACAGATTCCTTAACTGCATGAAGTTAGCACCTGTTGTCCTTCTAACTATTCTATAAATTTAAAGCTTGTTTTGAAACATGAATTGCCATGCAGGGCCCCCATCCAGAACCCCAATTCCATGGTCAGTGCTCTCCTATGGCACTCTCCCAGTCGGACAGCAGTGCATCCTCAGCCCAAGAGCAGGCCTCCCCTCACATCAGAACTCAGGTACACTCTAAGTCTCAGTCTTCCCTACAAAAGTTACACACACAGAGTTATTTTCAAGTAGATAGCTACCAAAATTTTCTTGTACAAACAGTTGGATGTAAATATAGATTAAAGAGGCCCTTGTGAACCTTAAGGAGGCCTGACCACTGTCTTATGTTTTTAAACACCAGGACAACCCTGCTAATATGTACTACCTGAAGGGCAGGAACAGAAACCAGATAAAATCTTTCCATACTCTGGTGCCAGCATGCCATGTAAATGTTAGAAAGAACAAAACAACTCCATTCAATATGATGTGTAAGACCACTCCAGATGTGCTCACCAGCATCCTAAAATAATTTAAGCAAAATCCTGATACAGAAAAACTGATCTAGGGATCTCATGGTTCTATACATTTATATTTTAATGCTAATAGAATAATGTTATTATGGAAACATTAGATTAGATTAGCTGAACCTGATCTCCCTTCAGTAAAAGGGCTTCTGTGCTACACCCACACAAAGCTGCAGTAACCTACCTGATGCACCGAAACTGCAACAGTAACCACACAGCTGATATTTGTACAAGTTTTCTTCCTCTCCACTGAGCACAGGCTGGCATTTGAAAATGGCAGTTGTTGCACTTTTGGTCACCACCAGCACAAGCTCTATAACCATAGAAGCTCTGGCTCTCTAGACCTAGCTGTTCTTCCTATCAGAAGACATCACCTAAGAGCGTGTAATTATAAATACCTAATGTAAAGGCCTTCATAAAATGGTTTCACTGTTCATTCTTGCATAAGAAAAAGTAGCACAAAGAATGTTAATGAGATGCTGAGTTTATTCTCCCCTCCTCCGGGCTAATCACTCTCCTTTGCTGTGACAGCCAATTAGAAACAGTTGCTGTAAAGATATTGCAGGAGATGGCTGCTCCAGGGGGATTTTGGAGAAGCAGGGCAAAGGAATGACTACGGAAAGACTGCCAAACGTGGAAGGCTCCAACCAGCACAGGCAGCAGGCAGGGGGCAGCCAGAACAGGGGCAAGGCCGAGCAGGGCGGGGAGGTGAAGGGGCTGAGCCGGTTCAGCAGCTCTCGCTCAGTGACTGCACACAGACTTATCCCTGGGCAGATGGTCCTTGGGACTTACGGGGCTAAACTAAACCTGATCCTACTGAGAAGGGGAACTGCTAAGCTGTGAGAGCAAAGCGGGTCACTCCTTAGGGAAGGGCGGCGGCAGGAACCGCACAGCCCCCCCGGCACCGGCCGGCAAGCGGGGAAACCCCAGCAAGGCACAGAGCCCAGCAGCTCCCCTGCCCAGGGAGTACGGGTCTTTGAGAGCAAAATGTTGAGAAAGAGCCCAGGTTCGTGGAAATTGGACCAAATGGTGATTCCAAGAGCTCCCTGGAGAACCTGCTGTGTGACACTATTAAGGATATCCATAATGCAGCACACTCAACCCCTGGGTAAATTAAGCTTATGACTTTCAGAAAACGTATCAAAGCTTGAAACATTTTCCATAAAAATGCAAACATCTGTTGTACAGCTGCAACGCAACATTCTGATTCCAGTCCTTAAAAAGATTTATTTAATAAATTAGTAACTTTTAAAAGTACAACAGATATGACAAGAAATACTGGTTTATCTTATATGATACTAAACAGTTAATACATCACATTAATTTTTTCTCCTAATAGATTTGACTCCAAATGTCTAGATATTCTCCTGTAACAAAATGTGAATAATTTGCAATTCTTACCCCCACTTCTCTATTAAAACATAATATAACAAAATGTTCTTATCAGCACAGCTGTTGCTACATGTAATGACTGCAAGGCAGAAATTCATAACGGGACAATACCTTTTTTGCACTTTCAGGACCTGCTTCATCAAAACGAAATCTGACAATACGGAAGTCTTTGCAATAAATTATTAATTCAGTTGGATTAAATTTCAGTTTTTGGTTGGGACCAAGGACCTTCTGCTTCCTCTTGGTGTCATTCACTGCAAAGAAGAGAAACCTATTTGACTGTGTTCTGTAAGGAAACAACATTGGCTCAAACAGATACAGTAATGTTGCTGCCAGAAAGTTTTTATTTATTGGCACATTTTGATTCAGGTAGAAAATCTGTTGATTCCTGTTAGTAAAAGCTTATGTTTCACTAAACTTAGAGTAAACCTCATGTTTTAGAAAAGGAGCAACAAATGTGGGCCAGTGCAAGACAATATAACAGATCAATAGCACCTAATTGTTGTAAAAAAAAATAGCATTTCTTCATTGTGTTCTTCCTCAGAAACACATTAATCTTTTCACAGTGATCACAACCAACTTTGGGCATTGAAAACTTATAACCAATAATTTAGATTACCTACAGTCAGAAAATCAAGTGTTTAACAGCCCATGCCATAAATAAAATTTGAAAATTTATCACTTTTATGAAATTTTACAATTACAAGATGAAAAACATTCTTAACAAATAAGTTAGTCTATAGAATCCAACTAATCAAAACCTGGTTCTCCACAAGAAGTATTTTATTTCTTCAGATCAAGATGCTGATTGCCACTTGCAGATTTTTGGAGATCACCAGTTATTAACTTGCTAAGAATTAGAGAGGATTAATAACTACAGCATTTCTCTTGTCAGAAATCCCATCTATGTCTAACTATATAACCTATTTTTACAGTTTAGTGTATTTCAGTGGCAGAGATTCAGATGATACAATGTAAAAATGTTGCTAACAAAATTTTGTACTGCTGCAACGTGTCTCTTCTACAACACCTGTTGATTCAGTATGGTAGTTACAAATATAAAGTCTATAATATTAAGACCCAACTAAGTCTCCTGCATGGCACCTCAAGATTTATTCAGCATTTGAGGCTTTTATCCTAATTTTAAACAAACCAAATACTTCAAATCAGGGAAGATTAATGACATGAAACCTCAAGTGTCTTACAATTCTGCAGAACTTAACAGGGAGGTAACAGTTTTGTACTGAATAAGAATAAAGCCTGTCAGTATACTTAGTTATTTTTGACATACCTGTGACAATCTGCTCAATGCATGTGAGTGGGACATCGTGCTCACCAAGGAGGAGGTTTTTATAATGGAATTTCTGAAACACATGAACTCACAGCCATTAATTGCAGTTCTGCAGTTTGCAACCAGATATACAGCACAACTTTGAAGAAACTATGATAAAAATCAGGCATGCCTAGGCTTTTCTGACAGGTACTACCCTTGCCTATTCCCAAGTAATTAGAGGTTAGATGCTGCTGAACTGCACACCCAGCAGTTCAGAAACCCCAGTGGAATATGCAAAATAACCTCCCTATTTGCACTGAATTTACTGAATTAGTATCCAAAATTACTCTTAGAAATCCAATACAATTTGAAGTATTATATATATATATATGTATATAGATATATAGATATATGGAATATAAGAAATGAATATAAGAAATCTCCAATTATTATTGCTTTTGTAAGCAGAAAGAAAAAAATAATTATACTTTCAGGGACAAATTTTGACAACTACTTCATGTCAAAAATTAATCTTTTGAAGTAGCTCTGGTCAAACTTCCTAACCATTATTGAATAAGCATCTATCTATTTTCAGAGCTATACATATCTTTAATTGATGGAACATTTCCTTTAAAAGCCCCAAATGGAAGTGCAAACTCTAATGAAAATAACACACAGCTCACTACTTGGATTTCCAGTGTTGTATGCTGTGCTGTTCAAAAACTGATAATTTTGAATGTCATGAGCTCTGCTGTGACAAAGCAGAAGAGTTCTTCTCCCCTCTCTTGTTGCTTCATCTACAATGAATACTGATTTCATGGTGACTTTGCCCTCCATCAGTAACACCAATAAAACTCCACCACGTGGAGAGCTCTGCTGATCTGACACTTGTCTAGTCTAAGGGACATTTGCAAACAGCTCCTTCAGGGAGGAACACATCTGTGTATAATTCCTGCTTTGTCTTTTGTAAAACCACTTCCTGGGGAAGCCTCCATACGTGGAGGTGATTGGAGCTGGATGTACTTCTGTACAAATTTCTTCCTCTTGTCCTGATATGAATGGATGGAACGGCAACACATTCAGAACAGAAGAGTGGAACCTCAACCCGTAGCCTGCTTAGAAAGCATCCATTTATATCAGATATGAGACAGCCTGACTGTGTGAATAATTCCACTTTTCACATTCATGGTGTAGCCATGTAAGCAATCACCAACCTGCAGTGGCATTGGGTCATCTGTAATAAAGGAAATCTTGAAGTTAGTGCAAACCAGCTTGCCCCACAGATCATACTGGCTCGTGTCTGTTGCAATGCACTTTCTTACAAAATTTACTTCATTCACCACAATTTCACCTGAAACAGAAGAAAGGGAGGGGAAAGGAGAAGCCTATATAAATCCTGTAGGTACAACAATTCTAAGTCTGTAGTACCAAGGAACTCCTAACTCTTTACCAGTTTCAAGTTATCCACCTCTAATGGGTAAACACGGAGTTTAACTAACAACACTCCAGGGAAAAGAGAAAATTACCATTCCCAAATGGACAATATTGTGCAGTAGTTAAAATGAAACAAAACACAAAACCAACAAAAACAACCAACTTAAAACCAAAACAAATCTCGAAGAACAAAAACCAAAAGAAACCCCACAAGAAACCCGACCCACTGTCAAACCCAACAAAACCACATACCACTTCCCTTAGATCCAGAGATCAAGATCTGCAAGTCTCCACTATTAAAAGTTCACGTGTTTGAACAACATTGTCCTTTAAACATGCATACATTTCTGCACTTCAGCTAGTATTTATTTTAAAAACTGAAATTAGCTGGCTATTGTTAAGTACCTCAGAGAATCTGATGAACTTCCTGAATTCAAAATCATCAGGTCACATCACATTTTTGCTTTATAAAGACATTTTCAGGTGACTTCAAAAAACAGAACACAAACACATTTCCAACTTTTTACTGTGACCGTATAATGAAGGAGACATTTTCTGGATTTCCTTCATAAAACAGAAGATCCAAATGATGAAAAAACAAATTATGCTAATTGGTCTGGCATAAGCTATAAAATAAAAAAGCATATAGGCAAATGAGACTGAGGACCATTTAAAAAGTGAATCACTACACAAAATGATACTTTTCAGTTCCGCAGCCAAAATTTCTGAAAGCTAAACAGTAACTCTTCCTTCAGTAATCTCACTTAGTAATTCTTTTTATTCCTGTACAGAGCTTTCCCTTCTGTCATCAGATCAACCACCTCCTGCTGCTGCTGTCTACCATAAATAGTGTGGGAGTACAAGTGTGTTCCAAGAAAAGTGTAATTTCATATTGGCTCTGAGATTCTCCTTAGAAGAAACCAAGGACTAAAGACTGCTGAAGCCTAATTTGCTCGTAACACGTTTGGCACGTTTAGTCCCAGTTGCCTGAAATGCCATCTCACAGTCATGCTTTGCAGGGAAACAGCAGCAATTCAGACAGCTGTACTGGCAGCAATCAGCTCCTGCATGTCCAAGGAGTAGAACCACAGCCTGGAATAAATTCCCCACTTAGCTCCTGCTGCAGAGCAGATCCTTCCTCAGGTGATTATCACTGCAGCCAAGTGACCATACCTTGAAAGGACTGCCTTTAGTGTCCCAGACTTGAGAGAAATGCACCTTTTGCTGTCTCCAGGCCCTCCAGCCCCTTAGCTATTTCACCCAGCTGTCCTACTGGTCCTTCTGGATCTCTTGCCTCTGATACGATCAGGGATCTGCCTGGAAATCACTAAGAGCAGCAGCAGCCTCTCTGCTTTTGGCTCAGTTGTTCAGCTATAAAAATGTCTTGGTCTAAGTCTGTAAGGTTGAGCTGCCAGAATTATGATCTGTGTTCTGGGACTGTTTGAAGATGTGAGGAGACAAGTTTCATTGACCTGTGTTATCATATACATCAATATTCTCTCCAGAAGTGGCAGGAACTGTGAAAATGTCTATAAACAGATCTTCAGGAGCTTTAAAGTCTTTCCTCAAACAGTGCTAAAATGTGTTTAAATAAGCTTTTGAATATGAAAATAAAAATCTGTTTCTGACAGCTTCAGTACAAATAGTTAAAAACTCATCCAAGTCCACAGCAGCTGAAAACAATGTCTTATAATGGGGTGCATAAGAATGACAAGCCCTATTTCTGTTAAACATTGTAGTGAAAATGTTTCAATACTTAGCATGGCCTGAAACTTCTTAATGCCCAGCATTTCTTCAAATAATCTATTTACTTAAATAACTGCAAAAGCCCAAACTATTTATTGCAGCATTTGGTATTAAGTCTTCAACTATTCAACATGAAGTTCTAAGTCACCTCCTGTGTATGAAGAAAAACAATCTCCTCATAAACTGAGATCTAAGTAATTTTTATTCCTCTCTCTCTACATTTTGCCAGTGTATCACTGCATTTCTAATTGAAAAATATGGAGAGCTAAATACACCATGAAATGAAATGCAACTTCATAGCTTTTTTGGGTAACATTCACTTATCTGTTACCAAGTATAATATTTTTTACTATCACATAGGAGACACTTCTAAAAGCAAATTACTATTATCAAACTATTTCAGTATTCATTACTTTCATGTAACCAAACAGTAAAAGAAATGAAATACATTCATAGATCTTCGATTTGAATTTCCTACAGTTTAAAACATGCCCGCTACATCATTCTCTTTCCAAAGCCAGTCCTTTTTTACTTCCCCCCTTCATTCCTCATAATTGTGTGGTTACACTGCAAATGTTAATTCTAATCCTATTTTAGTGCAACTGCATTTAGTTTCATTCCATCCAACACAAACACATTCTGGATTTTCTGGCCTAGCTTATCTTCTGCTCTCAGGTTTGCAGCCCTAACCCAGAACTGTCCATTTTGAAGCTAAGGATTAAGGTATGGCAGGACAGAGAATGTGTGCATGCCAACTTCAGCCAAAGAATGAGAAAGTTTGAAAACCGCATCTATTAAATTTGCAAACACCTCTATGAATTTTTTTTTCAAGATGCAGCTTTAGAATTTTATGTGACCCATCTTTTATCTCTCATTTGGGCATCTATAACAAGCTATACATATATATATATATACACATATATATATATATATATATATAGTGAACTTCTCAAAATGAAAATGAAAATTTAGGGAAGTAGATAAACAACACGAGTAGTAAGTGCAGGACTTATACAATGAATCCTTCTTGTGTTTGTAGTTGAGTAGGTGATTTCTCCTACACAAGACAACAACAGAGCTATTCAGAGATATTACACTGCACATTTCTACAATGTAGCTGCTGCTTTTTTCCAGTAAACAGTCACAAGCTGTTCCAGACACGGAACAGCAGTCAACACTTCCATCTGACTCCAAGAGTCAAAGAATGATCTCAGGAGACGAGAGCAGTTTGTTTAAACTTTGACAGGAAACCAGAAGAGAAATTACAGGTTGCCACCCTTACATAGAAAGTCTAATCATGTTTAATAAAAATATTTCTACATTGAATACACAAATCACAAAAATAACAGGAGATACTGAAGGATCTATCTGGATAATACACAACCTGACACGCAGCTTCAAAAACTGTTAAACTTCTGAAAAATTCTGCTATATCTCCCAAAAGCACATGCAATCTGACTGTGGATGTTAAGAGAATTCATGGTATGTATCTAATCCAGCACAATGCATAACCCACTACAATCAAAATAAAAAGCAGCCAGCAGAGCCTGGGAACACGTGGGAGCTGGGAGAGAGGCAGGACAACCCTGCTGAGCACAGGGATCAGCAGGAGGGAGCTCTGGATAGCACAGCTGTGCTCTGCCCCAGCCTGCAGCCACACCACCCTGCACTTGAGGCAATTTGGTTCCTCAAAACTTGAAACACAGTCCCTAATCACTAACCACCTAAAATAAAGGATGTTCTACACCATTTTCACTACTATATTTTTGTAACTTTTGGTGCCCTGCCTCACAGGATGAAACCTAATTTTTTTTATCTAATAAAGGTAGCAATTTGTAACTTTTCAGGGAAGAAGGCTGATTTGAGTAGCATCAATGACTTCAACCTTATTAATGCAGGAGGTGATACAGACTGAGCAGTTTTCAACTACTCTAACAATACTGACTGAACTCAAAAATTATGCACAATTAAAGGAACTGAACAGTATTTTATATACACAGACACATACACAGATCAATACACATACAGACAGATGGGGCATGGCACACATACATACACACACACATCTTAAAAAGCTAACAGGCATTATTTTTATCACATTAAAAATCTGATACTGGCTAGAGGCAATGAATAGCTGAAATCAAACTCCATAAATCAATAATGCAAATCCTACAAGCTCAATAAGTTTGCAGGTACCCTGCATGCTGCTAAGGGAACTTCCCCAATGCTGTACCAGAAGCACAAGAACAGGTTTACCAGCATAAACTCTCTTTAATGAGCATTGAAGCTCTATGGATATGTTCAATGTCTAACAGTCATAAGCATAACAGGGGTTTTTAAGTACTTTAGGCAGTCATGTAATTTCTACCTAAATCCATAAAAAACGAGCACCTGGAAGCTGAACTCCTGTTTCCCATTTACAATGCTGGTGATAATTATACCCAGGTAAGACAACAGAAAACCAGCTTGGCAATGTGAAACATAGTCTTAGAAGTTCACAATAGAAAAGCTCAAGTTAATTCAAGTAGCTATTTAACTGTTAAGAATGCACAATAATGAGTTAAGTTGTAAAATATCTGGCAAATAATTAACTTTCGGAATTTCCCAAGTAAGAATTTCCAATAAAAACTTCATTAATAAGTAACTGAAATCTACCTCAGTTTTGTCCCCTTATCGGCTCTCTTGTGAATACCAAAATTGTAGGAGTTTATTAGTATGCATCAAGCATTTAGATGTAAATGTCTCTAATCCACTTCTAAATGAATCTTCTGCTCAGTGTGCTCAGACACTTCCAAACTTAAGGAAAAAAAAAGTATTTGCAAGCTCATGAAATAATTGTCTTTCATCTATTTTCTGATTTTTATGAGCTTTTACAAGGTTGTTCCAAAAGGACGGCTCAATTCTGTGATTATTGGGGAATGAAAAACAATTTCCATTAATTTTTAACAGGAGAGCCTGAGATTCCAAAGAACAACTCTGACCACTGCTTGGAGAGTGGTACAGAGAGCTTGCTTTGCTGGTCTTACTAGAAAATTGTTATTAAAATATCATATATTAATATTTTATTCTTTTTAGTATGCTAAGAGAAAAGAGCTCAGATAAACTTTTTAAATGCTCAGTAAGGGAAAAAGTAGCAAAAAAATAAAGGCTTCCTGGTAAGTCTTCAATGAT